GATCCATTTGATTTTATTTACATAGTTTTTCTTTTTTTCAAATGTATGGACCCGACTGCAAGCTGAACTGTAAATGCCAAAACGGAGGTGTCTGTAACCGTTTCCGTGGATGCCAGTGTCAGACGGGGTGGAGAGGACGTAACTGTGAGAAGTCTGGTAAGTATCACCACATACACATTAATCCTTTATGTCGACATCCCCTGGGCATTGACAGTCTTTCTCTTACATTGTTACATCCTTGCTGTTTGCATCAGCATTAAAGGAATAGAGTTAAAGGAATAGAGTTTAACTTAGTGACAAAAGGTTTTTTTTCCATTTCTGATGAAGGATCACTTATACTGGGATCAAACCAGCATGTGTAATTGATTAATATTGGTTTACTTTGTTTGCGTTTAAAAAAAACAAGAAAAAATTAAGTTTGTAACACTCTTACAAAGAATGTCTCTATTACAACAACAAAAAAAGAAAATTATTGGTTGGAAATCTTATTTAAAAGTTTTAAAATCAGCTGCTAATGCCCATTGAAATGTCTGCTCCATTTTGTTTCTTCATTAAACTACTAAGCCTCTGTTTCTCTGATTTTTATGGTAATTTTTATTTAAATTCTATGTCACATGTTTCGCTTCTGCTTTTCAGACCGGGCTCCTCAGATCTTAGAACTAGATGGTAATATTGAATGGAATCTGAACTCTAGTCCACAAATCTCATGTTCAGCTACAGGCAACCCCCTTCCCGATCACAAAAGCATTGATCTGCGAAAGTTGGACGGCTCTGTGCTCAAGGTAAGAGTCTAGTTTTTTCATACAGATTTACACATTATTACAAGGTTGAGTTATGTTTTAAGGAAGTCAGCAGCACAATGGTCTAACCCAGATAAGGCTTTGTCACTCTACAGTGCAGCAGTTACCATGTCTTTTCAATAAGTGGCATGTATAGCACAGTGTGTTGGCTCTATGCTGTTTCCTTGATAATAGAAACAATCTGATAAAGAACTGAGTCAGTGTTTCCCACAGGAACAAAGTTATTTGTCAGTTCCTGAGGATATTTTTGGGACATTTTTTTTTTTCATGTATTGCACTTCTCTATCATGCTGAATATTTTTCTCTCAGCCCACCCAAACCACCATTGACTCAAATAAGAGCACAGCCGTGTTTGACATTCCTCGTATGAGTGCTCAGCTTGGAGGATTGTGGGAGTGCAGGGTGTCCACCAATGGAGGCCAGGATTCTCGCAGGTTCAACATCACCCTCAAAGGTTGCAGTGGGTTGTTTCTGTTGAGCAACATTATGAAAAAATAATGTTAGAAGGATGTATCTCTTATGTTATGGATGAATATGTCCCCATTCCTACCTAGAGCCTCCAGTGCCTACGACTGCTCCAAAATTACTACAAAAGAGAAGCAAGCAGCTCCTAGTGATGCCAGCTGAGTCCTACCGAGGAGACGGCCCCATCATCTCAACCAGACTCATCTACAAGCCTGTGGAAAATGGAGACTCTTGGTCTTCTATCATAGGTGTGAGGCATGAACTCAATGTAGCAATGGAAGGTCTGCCTTTATTTGCATTTCCGGTTATCAGTTTGTCATACCTCTATTTTATCTCAGTTTATAGTGACAAGGAGCCCATCACCTTGATGAATCTGGAACCTTCCACAAGGTACCGTGTTCGTGTCCAGCTGAGTCGTCCTGGGCAGAAAGGAGAAGGGGTTCCAGGACCAGAGGCCATCATGGAAACAGACTGTCCTGGTAAGCTTATTTCAACACTTTGCTGTCAGTAGCAATTTGGTGAGGATGGATGTTGCTTTCCTTTTCCCCAGTGGCTAATTAGACTCACAATTTGGCACAGAATTGGCCTCAAGAAATTTGTGATTACTTCTTTGATGTAATATAACGGAACACACAATGGGACCAAAACATGTTACCTGTTTTTACTTGTTTTCAAATAGCTGAGGTAATTTTTTATTCCTCAGTGACTGTGGTGCAGAGGGAGAGGAAATATGTGGCTGAATACAATAGAAAACTGAAATGAACACACATTTTCCAAATGCCTGCTTTGTAGTGTAGGAGTCAATAGTTTCTGAACTTTTTCTCAGTAGGTTCAGTCCATGTGTGAAATGGAGCTAAGTGTATTTGTCACAGGGAAAACTTGCTATTGCATTAGTAGAACCCTGTTGTAACTGAACAAATCTGGTGAGACATCTTTACAGTTTGCCTAATAGTCACTGTAAGCATCATGTTAGTGTTTTTACTGCTTCTAGTGGAGAGAGCTTGAACTACAATTTTTGAAAGGAGCCAGCAGATAAATCTATTAGGGCCTGAGATTATTAATGAAAAAAAGAAGAGAAAGAGTCTAAGGAATCAAAATTCTGAAAAATCTGTTATCAAAGTTTTATATTTCTATATTATTATTTATTCATTTTTATTTAAATAAAATAAGATATATTTTGATAAAAGGAAGTCTTTGATAATAACAATCAAACACATAGAAATGTAAAATACAAAACCAGCTACCTTCTGATTTTTTAAAAAGAGGCTATAACCACAGATTTAATCAATCTAAATAAGGAAAGCAAATCACAATGAAGAAAAGAAACATATCATTAGCATCATAGAAAAATAGAGAGATTACATTTCTTAAAAAAGAAATACACATAGAGCTGGTTGCCCCCTCAGCTCATCTTGTGTTGTCTGTTGCTACAGAGCCCACAATTCAACCACAGATTGACAACAGTTCAGTGGAAGGCCGCAGTGCTACTTTGCGCTGGCGACTGCCCAAAAACAGTGGCATCGCCGCTGGCACAGCAAGCGGCTTTTTAGTGCAGCTCTTTGCACCACCACCCATCAAAGAGAAACTACTGGAGGAGACCACCCTGCTAAATGTGCTCTCCACCAAGTTCCACAACCTGGAGTATCATCAAGACTACTCTGTGGTGGTGCGCCTCGTCAACTGTGATAGCCAGGGGCCACCCTCCGAACCATTCCACCTCCGCATCAACAGTCAGGGTAACTAACGACTCGGCTGAGGACTAAGAACAAGCACTACAAGCACAATGCATATGTATATACATACAGCACTGTGGAGCTCAACTAACTATAAAAACGTCTTATCCAGTGAAAGACTATAGTGACTCTCCCTCTGCCCACAAACATACATTGAAACGAGGCAAGAAACTCAGCCACTACCAGGCATTACGTTTATATTAAAAGCAAAGCAATTAATCCCTTTATCATTGATACTGAAACTTTATGAAAAAACCTGTTTAAAATGGATTTAAACAGAGTAACCTTAATTGACTTACAACAGCGGTGTCTCTGTGTCTCAGGCCCATCATCCCCCCTCAACGTCCAGGCCACAACCCTCTCCCTGTCCGCCATCCAGGTGAGATGGCGGCCCCCAGAGAATCCAAATGGAGGCATCGTTAAATATGTCATAGAGTACCAGGCAGTTGGCCAGGAGAGCCCTCACCCTTGGGTCGACACAGATGATGGGAACAAGACCACCAAAGATGTGACAGCCCTCAACAGTAGCACAGCCTACCAGTTCAGAGTGAGGGCTTTCTCTAAAGTGCCAGGAGAGTGGAGCCATTTTGTGCAAGCAAAGACACAAGGTGATGGTGAGTAGGAACTCATTGTGTGTTCAGTTTTTCCATTGCTGTATTTCTAAAGCGGGACATACACTACTATTGCAGTTTTGTCTAGGTCTTTACGTGATATGAATATGGTATTTAACACCAGAAAGGTTTGAGAAAATGTCCTCTAAGCATTTTCAATCTTGTCTCTTACACTTGAAATCCTTCACGCAAATTTGTCAGTTTACTTCATTTTGTAAAAAAAAAAAAGTAACTTAAATTAACATATATCACGTAGAACCCCCGTTCTTATTGTCGGGGGTTTTGTCCTCAATCTGAGGGATCAGATATTTTAATGTGCTGATATAAATAAAGTACTTTATGGTTTCTTTCATGGCATGTTTATTTTGGTTATCAAGCTAAAAATAGATCCAAGTGGAAAATCCCATCACGTCCATATTCATAGCTTTTACCAGGTGCCAGGACCACCCACACAGGGACAGCAATTTTCTCATGATAATGATAAGGCTAGAGTAAAGCAGAATATGTTTCTCGGCTGGCTGAAAATCAACTTGACTTCTCCTCTTGTTTTTTCCCCCAACTTCCCCCATACTCATTGTTCTCTCCCTTACATCTTTTCTTCCACAGGCAGTCAGATTTTAGCAGCAACCACACAGAGTGTCGCAAGCAAACCTGCAGGGGAAGGTTCCCAGCTGCTGGAGGCGGTCGTGGGCTCTGTGGCTGTTACCTGTGTGACCATAATGCTGGCGCTGCTGGTTCTTTTCTTCATCAGGAAAAGTTTGCTCAACCGACGGCGCACATTTACCTACCAGTCTGGATCAGTGAGAATGCCCTACTATTTACTTATTAGAATTTTAGAAAGCTACATCTGACAACTTTCACATCGTTATATTTTTGCTGATCTTTCAATGTTCATAAAAAACAGGGTGAAGAAACAATTCTGCAGTTTAACTCAGGAACTCTGACCCTCACCCGACGGCCCAAGCCCATACCAGAACCTCTCACTTTTCCAATTCTTGAGTGGGAGGACATCAAATTTGAAGACATCATTGGAGAGGGCAACTTCGGCCAGGTGTTTAAATCCTTACTGGACTATTTAACATTTTTGTGAAGTGATTACTAAGCTTTTTTCCATGCAGTTAATTGTTTGAGCTAACCTCAGTTATTTCACAGGTTATCAAAGCCATGATCAAAAAGGATGGAAACAAAATGAGTGCAGCTATCAAGATGCTAAAAGGTTTGCATGCATTTTCCACCTCTGAAGTATTGTCAAGCCATTATTTTAAGCCAGTGTTGTGTGTAGTGTGCTTAAACTTGTTTGGCTTGTACTTTGTTTAATGTGGTGTGTGCTCTTCTTCATGCAGAGTTTGCCTCAGAAAATGACCATAGGGACTTTGCAGGAGAGCTGGAGGTGCTCTGTAAACTAGGGCAGCATCCCAACATCATAAACCTGATAGGAGCATGTGAGAACAGAGGTAAGTGAGCGACACCTAGTGGAAAGATCTATAATAATCTGGGGTTTTGAAGGTAACGTTAATGGTTGTCATGGGTGACACTTTCAGCCACATATTTAACTGTGGTACATTGTCGAATTGTCTGTGTGTTTACATGCTTACAGTATAGTAACCAGGCCTTAAAATAGGACATTACTGTATAAATAATTCTCAGATCCACACAAAATTCAAAGTACAGAAAAGTATTGAATAATATACTTACAGTATATAAGGTTTCCTTGGTGTACATTCTAACTAAGGAGTTTCATTTTCCATCAACTAAAGCCAAAGGCTTCTAAATTGAATAACTTGATTACTTTTGTTTGATCATAACTTGACAACATGTGACAAGGGAAATCTATTTTGCTAGGCAAATCAGTAAGGGCATTAAAGGGCCATATTATCCTTGGAAAATATTCATCCAACCAATTTACAGTTCCTATCTTCTTGCTTCCTTTTAAAGGAAATCATTTTAAACACTAGTTTCTATAGGGCCATATTTTAAAACAAATATTTGGAGAAAACCTTTTAATAGTTATTAAATTAAAACAGAAAATAAATTATAAAGGACAAAGGCAGTATAAAGGGAAAGGGGGGAAGGGAAGGAAGGAATGTTCTGCAGAATAAAGAAGCTATGACAATAAAAATGTCAGAGAAGGACAAAGAAAATTTACTAAACACGTCCTTGAAATGTGTTGGGTTTCATATGTGTTTTCTCTGTGCTACATCTAATTTTGTTTGTCGAAATAGTTAAAAGAGACTTAATACTTGGAGGTGTGGCAGTATATGGTGTGGTCTTAGGCCCATTCACATTCTCATCTTACTGAGATCTGGAACAGATTTGTTCTCATATCAACATACTGGACGAATTAGGTGTATCCAGGAGGAATTCAGCTTTGAATTGTTGCACAGTTAAGAGGGGAGGAAAAGCTTAACATAAATGTCAAGAGGAAGATAAATTCTCCCTTAGAATTTATTGTGAAATTTGCCTTTCTCTTTTTTTCTGGTGACTCTGCTGATCTGATAAATGAACATTCACAGTTTGCTTTAAAGAAGTTGATCCGTAGGATAAATATAAAAAAAAAAATGATAGCAGTAAAGCAAACAATTGAAGACGGTGGCATGAATGTTCATGGCACGGTCTTCAATTGTTTTCTGCTATGAAACAGGACTAAATTAATCAGATCCCCCACTGTAATTTATTTGCTTTTCAACCTTCTGTGTTTAAAGAAGATGATATGCAACAATATAATTTGCAAACTGTTTTGGAAAGAAGCTGCAAAAGGAAATTTTGTCTCTATTTTTGAGTAGTCTGTCCATCAGACCATCACTCTTTCCTTCCACATATGGTGATCACTAATTATGCTGGCACTGTTCCTGCCCTGGTGAAATCAACATGAAATTCTTCCAATAGCCACAAAGGCTGGATGGCCCGTAGACTTTTTGTTTTGGCTGGAAGCCGTTATCTGTTGAGAAACACTCAGCCATCTGGTTCAGCTCTGTGAGGATTTTGTAAAAGCTCTGGTCTACCTCTGCTGTGTCAAGTCGAAGGCCAAGCCCCTTACCATCTGTAGGTGATTCTCCCCCAGGGTCGGTGCAACAAGGGACTGCAAGGCCACTCTAACAGTTTTTGAAAAAAGACGAAATTATTATAATTATGATAAACTAGCTATGCTGGTAATAGTTTACACAACATGATGGGACAATGTTGTCTACCACCAGGCATGACCTTTTTTGTCCCTGTAATATATATTTATATATATTCAAATTAGACAAAAATAAA